TATATATATATATATATATATATATATATATATATATACTATATTATAAAGCATTTAATTGACAAAAAATTTCTTAAAAACCATTTTTTATGCATAAAGTACTGTTTATTGATGCATATTACTTGAAATTTAAGATTACAAGTAATTTTACGTAAGTACAACTTATTAAAGCTCCATTTTTAAATTTGTGTAATTAAATGTTGTAAACATAATCAAATACAGGATAAACATCCATTTTAAATATAAAAAATCTAAAATATAATTAAGATAATTATTGAGTTCTAACAGAATGTTTAATTATTATCTTTATAAAAAAATAATATTATTAAACCAAAATTAATCTATACTATATTCTAAAACATTTGACAAAACTCTTAAAAACCATTTTTATGCATGAAATACTTTTTATTGATACATATTACTTAAAATTTAAGATTATAAGTAGTTTTGCATAAGTACAACTTATTAAAGCTCCATTTTAAATTCGTGTAACTAACTGCTGACAAATATAATTAAATACAAGATGAACATCTATCTTAAATATAAAAAATCTAAAATATAATTAAGATAATCATTGAGTTCTAACATAATGTTTAATTATTATCTTTATTAAAAAATATTATTAAACCAAAAATAAATTACTTTGTTATTAAATCTAAAATAAATTAAAATAAAAAATTAAATTAGAGAAGTTACACCAAAAAAACGAGAACTATTATTTAAATAGTTCATTTGATACTATTATCGATTTTTTTTTTACAAATTTATATGTTATCTTCAAATTGGTATTTTAATTCAAAAATAAAACATTACGATTTTTTCAAAACCACATAAAATCGTATTATATTGATGAAGACAAAGAATAAAAACAAAACATTAAAATCGAGATTTATCTCGCTGCATTGCGCGAGTACCCTTCTAGTGTGAGTGTATATATATATGCCTTGATTCATGTCCCTACTAGAACATATATGAACACACCTGAACGAATATAAACACTAGTTGCAGTTTATGACAGGTCAAACATCACAAGCAGCTGATGGAGCCGAATGATTATCAAAATTGGATTGCATAACAAATTAAGTTGACGATGAACTCATTCCATTTGAACATATGAATTGGGCTTGTAGTAATAATTAAAAAAAAAAAACTAACAACACAATATGAACTACAAAAAACACAAAAACATCATAATCAACATAATTTTGATTAAAACGAATACAATATCATATTAATCCATTACCAATACAAACATTTTGATTATTGTCTTCACTTCCGTAACTCGAAGTCTGATTGTCATTGTAAACAATTTTAACTTTCCCATTATTGTCGAGTTGTTTTCCAATGAGTTTATCCATATTAGCTTGACGATATCGAAAACTTTACTATCGGGTCTCCTTTAACAATCACAAATTCAAGAACATTATAGATAGATAAATCAATATTATAGAAAAACAAGATCAATAGTAAATCAACAATAATTATGAGATTTTTTGATTTTGTAACTCCCAAATCCTAATTAATGATATGGGAGTTACATACAAACTAAAATTACATATTTACCCTTGTAATTAAATTATGAGATTGATATGAACCTAGATAAAAAATGGATTTTCATTGGTTGAGCTTGATTAACAAAGTTAATACAAAAATCTTGGTTAATATTTGAACTAAGCGCGCTCTCTCTCTCTCTCTCCTCTCTCCTCTCTCTCTCTCTCTCTCTCTCTCTCTCTCTCTATATATATATATATATATAACTTTGAGGCCAAAAAACCCCGCCAACAATTGATAATAAGACTTGGTTCTTTGGAGTTCTTCCTTTCGGAGGTCATCAGTTAGAGTCCTACAATGATCCTAGAATTAGTCGGTATAAGTACGAGCACAAACTAACTTGGACACCCACAATTAAAAGAATGTGGAACAATATTCCAATCTTAATATATACCTATTATATCATCATTCTCTAAGATGACGTTTGGTTCGTAGATTCTGGAGGAATTTGATGGAATTGGAATGTTGAATTCCATTGACCAAATTTCATTCCCTCGTTTGGTTCATTCTTTTTCAAGAAATGAATCTTCAAAATCCTACAAATTCCACAAATAAAAGAATTTAACATTCCTTAGCAACTACATGATATTTTGATAGAATAGAATCTCTATCTTCATTATACCAAATATGCCCTTAACCTAATATACTCTAATCTCATAAAACTCAATATGACCATCGTCGACCACCTCTCGACCACTATTGATCTATACCACCACCGACTACCATCGATCTGACCAACCGCCGACCACCACCACCGACATGGACGAACCCAACTATGTGGTATAGGTGGCACGTGTCACCGTATTATTTCTTCGCCTAAGAGTAAAAACATTAAGTTTCGTGAGCGGTGCAACCGTATTAATTTGTTGTGTGCCACCGTATGTATTTTGAAACTACGATGAGAACAAATTTTATTTGGTAGAGTTGGTTTGCAAGGCTTTTATTCCACCCTAGACCCAAGTTCGAATTCTGTTTGTGTCATTTTCTTAGTCAAATGGTTCCACCGTTTAAAAAAAATTCCCTATATTTTTTTTCTTATAGTCAAATGATGCCACCGTTTGAAAAAAAATATGGGTCCGTCCCTGACCACCGTCTACCACCGATATGAACCACTACTGACCACCACCACCGATCTGAACCACCACCGACTACCACAGATCTGAACCACCGCCGACCACCACCACCGACTACCACGCCGACTATCACTGATCTGAACCACCGCCGACCATCACCGACTACCACCGATCTGAACTACTGCCGACCACCACTGATCTGAACCACCGCCGACCATCACCGACNCGCCGACCATCACCGACTACCACCGATCTGAACTACTGCCGACCACCACTGATCTGAACCACCGCCGACCATCACCGACTACCACCGATCTGAACCACAACCGACCACCACCGATCTGAACCACCGCCGACTACTACTGATCTGAACCACCGCCGACCACCACCATCGACTACCATCGATTTGAACCACCCCGACCACCACCACCGACTACCGCCAATCTGAACCACCGCCGATCTGAGCAACCACCGTTCTGATTCACCGTCAATCTAAACCACCGCCGATAACCACCATCTGAATCACCATGGACCACCACCGATCTGAACCACCGCTGACCACCACCACTAACTACCATCGATCTGAACCATTGTCGACCACCGCCGACTAACACCAATCTGAACCACTACCGACCACCACCACCGACTAACACTGATCTGAACCACCGCCGATCTGATTCACCGTCAATCTGAACCATCGCCGATAACCACTATCTGAACCACCATAGACCACCACCGATCTGAACCACTCTCGACCATCGCCATATGAACCACCATGGACCACCATCGATCTGAACCACCACCAACTACTACCAATCTGAAGTACCATCGATCTAAACCACGATTGACCATCACCGATATGATCAATCGCCGATCTGAACCACATCTGACCATTGTCACCTGAACCACAACGGACCACCATCGATCTATATCACTGCCAACCACCATCGACTACCATCGATCTGAATCATCGTCGGACACCGCCGACCACCACCGATTTGAACAACCACCGCCTATCTGAACCACCGCTGACCACCTCCATCTGAACCACTGCGTACCACCATCGATCTGAATCACTGCGGACCACCACCGATCTGAACCACCACCGACCACCGTCGATTTAGTAACGTCGTTTGACTTATGATTATATTTGGGTTGTGTATTTTATATTGTTTTACATATTAAATAATTATTTTATTAAAATATTTTTAGTTTTAAAAAAAATTCAAAAAAGACATTTTGGTCATTTACCAATATTTTATTCCAATTTTAAAGCTACATTATCTGAACCAAACACACCGATTCCAATTCCTTAACATATTCCATTCCAATGTCTGTCAACCAAAACATGTGATCAAACCTGACAACGTTCCACTCCAATTCCTTCACAGTCAAATTCCTTTAACAGATTCCATTCCATCCTAAAAGATTCTACGAACCAAAAGCCACCTTAAGAATTAAAATTGTCAAGTAAAGACCACAATTCAACAATGATCACAGTTAAAGAAAGAAGGAAAAAACAAAGTGTTGGGTTGAAAAGGAATAGATTTAAGTAGCTTAGATGCGGTTTTCATTTTATTTGATTGTGCTCAAGATAGAAACATTTGATGATGCTACAATTTGACACAAAATTATTAAACCTATGACTTCAATTCGACCAAATAAATTGCGTACGGAATTAACACTTGAAATCAATCTTAAGAACTAAAAACATACACAAACGAATATATATATGATATCAAACAGATGCAGAAATGGTGCTGCAATCACACATTAGTAGCAGCATCCAAAGCCATGATGGTGCTAAGGTTCATTGGCGACATGTAGTCTGTCGAGCCCGATAGAATTTGTTGTACGATGATCTTGTTTGCTCGTTCGGATGGGTGGAACGCGTCCCAAAAAGCGTAGATATCTCTGTTGGGACATAAGTTCGATAACCCTGTGCATAGCCCGATTCCATTAAATGGTCCTTGTCCACAACATGCTACCTTCGAAGTAACAAATCCTGCTCGATCAACGCAAAACTTATGAGGTTACAATCATGAACGCATGATGTTTTATGACATTTATTTTTAGGCCCATGCTTCACGACTATAAAAGCTAACTTATTTTTTGAGTTTATAAAAGAAACTGTATTTGGTTAGTCGTAAGCCATTTTCAACTTATTTGCCAAACATTATGGGACAAAGAATGATCAAATTTTACCGTATCTTCCGGGGTCGGAGATGAAATCGATGTTGGTTTGTCGAATATTGGCACCAATGAACACATTGCTCCCTATCTCACTGTTGAGACTATCAAGCATTGCTTGGAGCTGAGGGTTGAACAAACTTGCCGCTCGTTGCAGCTCCGGTGCGCAACCTCCGTTTTGGCCACGCTGGGCTAGTTCCGCCGGCACGCACCCCAATGGTCCGGTACCCGTGACCAAAACCCTTCGTAATCCCAATTCATAGAGCCTCTGAATTCATGATAACACAGTCACTTAGCAACACACTTTGTGTATATAATAATTGCGTTAATTAGTTTCAGATATATCAATCAACAACCAATGGCTCGATCTTTAGCTCGATGGGTATTTTATTGCTCGTTTTCAACCAGATCCGTCGTGAATTCGAGTCTTTTTCGATGCATTAAATTGAAAGATACAAGCACATGGCAACTTCCATGCTTCTTTCTTTAGCAATAAGTATGATATGGACAGATTCAACCACCTCTACCTTCTACTCTATACATATCAAGAAACCATTATCTATACATCTTGCATGAATCATAATTAATCGATAAAATCTTCCAATTGACCTTCAAAAGGGACCATAATATTTATTTCAAGAAATCAGATTAATTAATCAGTAGCAACCATGAGCTACAATTGTCAAGAAGCCATGCATATATGAGATACACAGTCAGAAACAAAGCTTTCATTTCTAATATCAATGGTGTTATTAGTTACTTTGATGTTTCGGTTAGCGAGAATAGCGTAAAAGTTATCTGGTTCATACGAAGAACACGAGAGGTGCAAGATGCTACGAAAGAAAACGCCATTTTTAGGGGTTTTTTGACGTGCAACTTTGTGTTGAGAAGACACTTGTATAAGTTAAAAACCTGACTGTACGTACCGCTAAAACTTTACGGTATTCGGAGATCAAGTAGACAACATAATCTGGAAGAGCAAATTGTCGAGATCTTGCTGAAAATGGGACTAAATAGTAGTTGTTCACGAAGTCATTGCCTCCCAACGTGATGAGGGTCAAAGCTTGATTTACAAGCCTTTGAGTCTCTTGAGGGCCAATAATATCACTCACCCTTTGCTGATACTGTTCAAAGTATTGCATTTGCAATGTGATCCTTATGATGTTAACCTGCAAGATATACATCAAACTTACTCCAAGATTTCTTGAATATAAACACCAATTTAATAAATCTCCGATGCTGTTTATTAAGCATCGTCGTCATCGTTATTTTCGACCCCACCGTTGCAGTACACCGTTGCAGTACGCAATTATAATTGTAGTGAAACCCGTCTTTTTACATGCACAAAAAGGGTTTGTCGAGCCATGGAAAGTACTTACGAACTGGACTCCTGTGTCATTAAGTATCCCAACACCAGCAGAAGCAAAATTGGCACCAACAAGTAACTTTTCACCAGTGAGGTATGGACTCAAATATGGCAATGTTGCTTCTTCCCCAATGGCCTGACCTGATAATTAATCAAATTTCATTAGGCATGTTGAATATATATATATACATATAATCCATACATTAAAGAATTAAAACAAAATAACTCAACTGATAAGGTCAGGAATGTTATATCCATTAGAGAAACGGCCAGTGGGACGATGAGTTGGATAGTCGATCCCATAAGGAGGTGCATCGGCTCGTGCAGTGGTAGCCAAGTAGTTGTTATTGCCATTGTCAACCAACGAGTCGCCAAACACAAAGAAAGCTCTAGCCTCAGCTTCAAGAACACCATTTTTCAAAACTGCTAACAGCAAGCAGAAGAAAATGGCATATGATGACTGTGAACTAGCCATGCCCATTATTACGTATTAACTAGAATTAGTTAAATTAAGTAGCTATGGCTCTTGTAAGTAACAATGTAAATAAAAACACACACACAAGATGGTGTGTTTTTGGGTTGTTCTGACAAACAAGACGGGAGAATGAGGTCTATAAATATGCATTTTGGGTATTGATGATGACAAAAATGTAGTCAGTACTGTAAAACCGATCCCAACTACACAACGTTGGAGTAGTTCTGTGTATTCAATTGGACAGTTACTTGCCAGACATGAGTACACAACTAGTGACTGGCTTGGCCAGCCCCTACAATCCCCAAATCTAGATTCTTGATTATATTACCCTTATGTTTTTACAGTATATAATAGAAAACGATGTCGTTTTTTGCGTTTCCTTTTGAAGTGTACGGTTACGGTTCTTTTTTCCAACGTATGTACCTGCATTGATCCCTTTCGGAAAAGTTAATACCTTTTAGTTTTTGTTACGATATGAACTTAGTAGCGACAAGCACACGTTTAAATTGATGATATTTTGAACCGACTTAAAGATAGATCGAATTTGGCCGTGTCTCCGCCTACTTGAAACGAAGATCCGAGCCACGATTCCACGTTCCCAATTGCATTAATCAGACATGATAACATGATGTACAAAGATCAATAGCTATTTTATGGACATTATGTTATTATGACCATGAAAATTCATGCACCATGTGTTACAATCAATACTGTATTTATTGCAAGTTTAATGAACAAAAAGAAATAATACTGTGTAATGCCTTATGTTGGTTAAAACACATTTTAATGCACTGTGAAATATAATAATGAAGAAATGATTGAGTAGTAATATATATACATGGCTAAACTTTATGTTAAAAGTCCATATTGAATTTAGAAATGGAAAGAAAAAAAATAATAAATGAAAATTCATAAATAGGGACGATATTTGCGGATATTTCGAAGAATTATAGAAAAGATCTATAAAGTGTCATCAGTGTCGGGTGGGTGAAGTCTTGTCTTGATGAGTATCATATGATCTCGTTGATAAAGCCCGTGAAGAATATACGCCCTGACTCAGCTTTGATACTACGTGAGAATATGTGAAACTCTATTAGATTACTGTTAGTTATAATTGACTCGGGTTAGCATTAAGGTTAAGGTTATTTCTAGGGTTAGGATTTCGTTACAACTTATAATTATGTTAGAATTGAGAGGTATGGTTATTGTATATGATTAGATTATTTCTAGGGTTAGGATTATCACTTACAACTTATAACTAAGAATTGAGATGTATGTTTATCATATATGATTTAGGGTTGGTGTTTAGGGTTTAAGATTAGGGATAGGGTTTCTAGTTTAGGTATTCATCTAGGGTTAGGGTTAGCATGTGATTCATCTACAAGATCGACCATTGTCGATTAGGGTTGATGAAGTAAATTATCCACAATGTGGGTTCGGGTTTAGAGTCTCTACAACAAAATCGGGTTTATAAGACACTCTCAAATTCTAAGTGTCTTAATAGACCTCTTTATAGGACCAAAAAAAATAAAGTGTCATATCTAAAGGTGTTGTAATAAGTTTATATGACGTTTTTTGACGTCGTAATAAGTTTTTTAAGGATATTTTTAATATAAAGCGTTCTATTATCAACTTTATAGGACATTATTTGAAAAACTGTCATATAAAAACAAATGTCCTATAAAAATTGAGTTTATAGGACACTTTTTCAAAAGTGTCCTATAAAAATTTGAGTTTATAGGACATTTTTTCAAAAGTGTCCTATAAAGTTGCTAACGCGACACTTTGTATTAAAAATGTCCTAAAAAAATTGTTAACACGTCTAAAAGCGTCATATAAACTTATTACAACACTTTTAGATATGACGCTTTATATTTTGGTCCTATAAATTATGTTATATAAAACGGTCTATTGGGACGCTTAGAGATTGTGGGTGTCCTATAAACCCAATTTTATTGTAGTGAGTATATGTTTAGTATTGGGGTTAGCTTTATTATGTCACATTTAGGTTAATTACATTCAAATGATTGACCAATGTGAACTACAACTAATTACAGTTAATTCAATTAGGTTTAATGATTAGCGTCCAGAGCTACGGTTAGAATCACACGATGTAGAACTAGGATTGATTTATGTCGCTCAAGGTTAATTTAAGCCCTATTAGATATTGTTTGTCAAATTATATTAAGGTGTACGTTAATATGTTATATTTTTAATGTTGTCGTTCTCATATTTTATTTTATTTTATTGTTACGCTATTTGTTTAGAGCTATGTGGCTATGACTTATGACTAAGAAAGTTGGCTTTTGTCAAAGATCAATAATACGTTTTTGTTTGATGTTCAAATTTTCCATCATCTCATATCAGTCGAAGAAACAAATAGTCTTAGGCACATCATCTGAAGTAGAATATCATGTCATGACACACACACACACACACACACACACAYATATATATATATATATATATAGTATTTGAAGTCCTTCTGGTGTGGGTTGGTTAAGAACATGTAGTCAGTTTGATAAGGATATAGTGCATTGCTTCTCCGCCACAAACTGAGGAATCACCTAGATTTATATTGACCATATTATTTGTCACGAGTCATGTTTAAACTCCATGCATTCTTCACACTAATAATTCGTTAAGCATCGCCATAACAACCACTCTTCTCCGTTTTGCACCAAGTATAATGAAACAAATTGTCATTCTGCCAACACAACTTTATATATTTTATTATCCACATGTTACACTGGCACAAACTAGTACTACAAGGATCTTCGTCCATGTCATCCCTAAAAATGTGCATTGATGGTGAAATCATATAGGTCCACAAAGTGGCCGCCTATGTTATCATAGAAGCAGTGCAAGTGTACACCAGACACTATGATTGCTATAAGTAATAGAGTGGTAAAAAAAATACTGAGATCATATCCATGGAGATCAAACTTCAGAGTTTTGAGTACTAAGTCGAGAATACAATGATTTCAATTAGAGAAGAATAAATTATTTTTGAACAAGCTTGCTGCTTTAACAATTAAGTAAAAACAATTAATTTAAAGAAAATAATATTGGTGTAAGCTTTCACTAAGACATTTGTAGTCATGGTATGGTCAAATATATTGCCCCAAAAACGTCTATAAAAGTCCTTATCTCTCGAATGTGAACTTACACATAGAGTGACCACATGTCTCCATAATGTTACCACTTTTGCCAACTAACGAGTTGTAGATCCAACTAAGTTGACTTCCAAGAGTCGTAGTTCCACCGGTATAAGGATCAGTGCTCAAATCTCTTTGTAGCACTAATCCTGACCAACATTTGACCTTAGTCAAAATCATGCAAAACCACGTATCTCTATGTGATCATAAAAGAATATCTCAAATCTTCTTGCATAACTCAAGCCATATTTCCAGATCCGTCAACCTCTGAATCTAATATTTAATATCAACACTTACAACTGATTGGCTTGTCCAATTGAGTCAAAGTCCCGACTCATGTGACCAAATTTAAGAGTTAGTAAAAATGGCAATACCTAAGTGCTGCCTATTGATCTTAGCTTTGGCTCACACCCACACCCACACCCAAAAGGGTGCTTAGCTAATACTTAAAATAAATAATATAATAGAAGAAGAATACTTAAAAATTACTTGCATTAAGAAATAAATTACAAATTGTCGCCACTTATGTCGTCACAATGGCAAACAATGTTGAAAATTACATACTTAAAAATAAAGTATAACTACAATTATCTAAGAAAATAAATTAGAAAGAGAAGTGGCTAGAACTTTCTACATTGCTAGACTTCTCCCCGTCATGAAATCCCAAAGTCCCTTTATATTGTGGAAGATGAATAAGATGGTGGAGGGTTTTACCCGCAAAACTTTCAGTAAACTCAAGCCTTCTTTGACCCAAAGGCTCATAGTCTTCTTCCTCTACTATTTCATAAAAGTTCGAACTTTGCTTTCCATCATCTAAGTTGTTTTTAGATTAACCTAGATATCCAACCCGCTATGCGAGCTGACTAATCCAGGGCGACCACCTGCTTTGCAGATAGCCCGGAGTCACCACACTTGAACCTCTGTGGCCACAAGGGGATTTTTATTCCTCCTTGGATTTGAACCTAGGACCTCCTGATACTTTTGACATTTGGAGGCAAGCTCAAACCAATCAGACACAACCCTTGTGGTTCATCATCTAAGCTTTTAGGTAAGCATTTTTGAGTAAACAAATCCTTGCACCAAGATATGGATAAAATTTACTTCATTTTGTCATTTATCTTTTATCTTCTCTTTATCTTCCTCGGTCCTAGAGTTTGACCTTCAAGAATGCCATAATACAGCTGAAATAGCTTAAGAATACATGCAAAAAATGATATACTTACGTCACTCACCATAGTCGAACAAAGTGACCACTTTCCGCAGTCCAACATTTAACCCAAAAACGATATGTCCAACCATCAAAACACAAACTTTTATCCTCAACAACTATAAATGAAAATAAATAAATAAAAAGGAGAAACACGAAGACATACATGGGATACACATACTGAAAGAAAAAGAAGCACACACAAAAGATATGTGAATACACAATTAAACGATGTGTGAATAACACTTATAATGAGAATTATCATGCACTAAGGTGCAATATAACACACATTTTTGCATACTACCTTCTTAGATCAGTCATTACCATGCCTACTAACTTGGGGCTTAAAGAACTACATCACTATTACAAATTAATCACATCGTATGCTAATTAATCGAATAATTCATTCATGAAACTAAATGGAACAAGCATATTGTCAAGAAAATTGTTAACATTCCATTAATCCTTTATTCGCTCAACCAGCAAACCTTAAACAATTCCTGAAAACAAGTTTTATTTAAACATCAAACGCATATGACTCTTACTTCAAACACAATATGGAAAATCCAACCTAAGAATGACCTTCAATAAACGAAGCTATAATACATGAGAGAAAACTAGCAGTTCAATCAAGGCTCAGAACTGATGGCCAAGATGGTGCTGAGATTCATCGGGTTCATGTAGTTGGAAGTGCCGCCAATAATTTGCTTCACAATGATTCTATTGGCCCGTTCTGAAGGGTGGAAAGCATCCCAAAATGCATAAATATCTCTATTTGAGCATAAGTTTGACATTGGGGTGCATAAGCCTATTCCATTGTATGGTCCTTGTCCACAACATGCCACTTTCGATGTAATGAAACCTACAAGATTGATAAACTAGTTAAACTTCTCTTTTTGTTTATACGAAGTATTTAAGAAGTATATGAATCATATATGTAGATGCCCACAATCATATAACATACGTACAACCTACGTTGAACTTACAACAGAATTCACAAACATAAATGTATGGTACCTGGTAACCTGTGTTTTAGTTCACATGCCCAAACAATAAGGTAACATAGAAGTTTCCAATTCAAATCCACATTCAGGTATTTATTAAACGGATTACCAAAAATGCACCAGTCTTATGATTCTATAATGTCGCAATACAACAAAATTGAGTTTTAAATATTGAAGTGCCATGATAGAATGTGTTATAGGACTTATGTTTACATAAACAAACAATAACACACCAAAGGGTCTTTGGCCTAGCGGTATTGTAGCCCTTGGCCTTCTAGGAGGTCATGGGTTTAAACCTCACCATAGGTGAGGAGGGTGTGTGAGTTTATTTGTTGCATTTGCCGTATATAAATATTATATACTTCAAAAAAAAAAAAAAAACAATAACACATCATATTTCAAAAGTGTCACAGGTTTATAGGATGTTTTCGAATGTTTTAACGAGTATTTAGGACATTTTTAAAATAAAATAAAATGTTTTATTAATATATTATAATACACTGTTTGAAAAAGTGTTTTATAAACACAAATGTCTTATAAAAATATGGGTGTATGAGTATTTCTCAAAATTATCCTATAAAATAGGTTATATAACACTTTATTTTAAAAATACTTTAAAAAAACTTGTTAAAACGCTAAAAACGTTCTATAAACAAACCGTAATACTTTTAGATACGATGTTTTATTGTTTGTTCCTATAACTTAAATCCCGTAAAACATTATATTAGGACGTTCAGACATTTTATGTGTCCTATAAACCCAATTTTGTTATAGTGATGATTCATAACTTCCGATGATATCAATGTTCATTTCAAAAATTTCCACCTTGAAATACTAAAATGCATTTCAGAGAGGAATTATTTTTGTAACCTTTGTACTCGATACTGTACTTGATGCTAAAACAACCCACATACGTGAAAAAGTATCTGAAAATTTTCATGTACTACCGATATATTCCTTAACCTAGAAGCTACGATTTGTAAATTTTCATATTTCTAGTACACAAAAATTTGAAATCATGACAACTATATATACTGATCGACTATTTTCGTATAAAACATCTGATTCAGTATTTATAAAAACAATTCACTCTTAAAGAATATCTTGAAGACGAAGGTACATCATCAAGTCATGATACTACCATAAATTATTCACAATCGAATATAGAATATTGATGGTACCACGTATCATAAATTATTGAATTAATTTACAACCGAATATAAAATACTGATTTATGATTCATTTTTAATTCAATTATTTCATAATTTACAAAATTAAATATGTTTACAAAATTCTAAATACATGCCTTTAAATTGAACAAAATTTTGTGGATAAAAAGAAAAAAAATTAAATAAAAACTCACACTTTATTGTAGATACCAAAAAATTTAATTTATCCTTTCAAATGTTGATCCCATAACACACATTTATTCTTCTAGCTCTTTTTTCAATATTAATTGCTTTATATATATATATATATATATGTTTTTTTTAAAACTCTTTAGATTGTAAGATTTTTAACAATACAATACATCATGTGTTATTTTGTATGATTTTTTCTATTTATGGCTAGAATTTAATATATTGATTAGCATGTATTTGTTTTGTTTCACATGTATCCGGTACAAAATGTGAACTTTTTTGGCATGTTTGTGAAACCAAAAAGTATACCAAGAAGAGTTTTATAAAATGAATCGAATACATATGAAATAAACACATTGTGAAAAAAATATATGTTAGTCAATACAATAAATCTTCTACTTAGATGGAAAATGATAATGTGAAATAAAACTTTAAGGCATAAATTCTCACGGATTTCAAAATTCTCAAATTTTTAAGCTATATTTATATGAACAATCAAATGCAAACCACTCATATTGTACAAACCATGTAAACCATCTTTATTTGTCGATTACATTGTTTAATTTAATTAAATTGTTTAATCTTATGAAATTGTTTCATATAATACTTTTCTTAATGAATTTGTTTCATATATGGTTGTTTCTATGTTTTAATGAAATTGTTTCATGTATTTCTTTAAAATTAATATAATGAAAATGATAATATCCATAACTGACACATTTCATCAATAAAAATGACTAATCAACCTCTCATAATTATAAAAAAAATAAAAAAATAATGAAAAATGAGGTCTCTTCTCACGAAATTAGTCATAGTATATTCTTTTATTAAAATTAAGGTGAACTTAATAGATGTTAAGTGAAATATACTGATCAATATTATCATCGATAAAATTGCATTTTACGAGTTAACAAAACCGTGATTAGAGGGATAAAAGAATTGTGTACCGTAAGCCTGAGGATTTGATATGTAATCCATATGCATTTTCATCGAATTAGCAGCCACGAAAACTTGGCTGCCTTTTTCTTCATTTAGTTGATTCAACATAGTATTAAGTTGAGGATTGTACAAATCAGATGCCCTTTGCAACTCCGCAGAGCATTCCCCAGCTCGACTCCGTTGAGCCAACTCCGATGGCACGCATCCCATAGGCCCCGTGCCCATCACCAACATCCTCCGCACTCCGACATCGTACATTGTCTGTGTTCATAAAAACAATTAAATACAATTAGACAGAACATATTTATTTAAAGTTAAGTTTATAAACTTTCTGAAAATCCTTACAGAATTACCTTCTAATCTTTATTACGTATGATATTTGATAAGAGATATTTAAATAGAAGATATTTTTAATTAAAGATATTTAAATAAATAAAAATGATTGATATTTAATGATTTATTGAAATGCAAGTAATGGTGTGTAAAAGGAAGGATCATTCATAATTCATATATGTTGAAAAGCATTAAATATGCACATGAAGAAATGGAACCAATTCTAGACCATCCTACCAACTACCACACACCTCTTCATGATGGCATAGTAATTCACCATACCCCATTAAAATCCATGTCATATATATATATATATATATATATATATATATATGGGGCCTAATCAAATACACAAACTAATCAGTTCTCTCTTGAATGAGTCCTTGTGTATATGTATATGTGTATGTGTATATGTATATGTGCATGTGACATGGATTTTAATGGGTGTGCATCGACTTGGACCAAGAATGAATTAGAACCAAACCAAAATATAAAAACTAGAAAAAATATTTAATTTTGATTCAGAACTGGTTCTGTCTTAAATAATGATAATTATTGTATATAGTAAGAATGCATTGTAACATATAAGCGTAATATGAAAGAATTACCGAAAGAATGTTCCTATATTCGGAAACTAGATATCGAACGTAATCCGGTAAAGCATACTGGCGAGATCGAGCAGAGAAAGGAAGCAAGTAATAGTTGTTAACGAAGTCGTTTCCACCTAGGGATATGAGTGAGATCGCATTACTGACTATTTGACGAGCTCGGTCACGTCCGATGATACTGGCTAGTCGGATTTGGTATTGTTCAAAATACTCTATTTGTTTCCAAATTCGGATTATATTTAACTGTAAAATAGAAACGCATTTATTAGTAATGAATGTACATGATTTATGCATACAACGGAAAATAAGTATGGAACGTTGGCTCGCTTATCATCATCCGAAAAGGGTAATTTTAGGATAAGGAAACGACCAAATCTAAAACCGTGCTTCTACAATAACATGTATATACATTATGCAATAACGGTTATACATCTTGCATCTATATATAATGTCGTGTCGAGTTGTTGAACAAATCAATTTCCATACAGCTTGAATAATTTCATAAAACTCTGAAATTAACGGTTAAACAAACTTTTAAACAGTTCTGAGTGGATTTGAACAGTTGACCACTTAAAAAAAGACAAGACTTTATCTGTTTAATTTACTCTAAACAAATATTTAAACCGTTATGTTGTATATTCAAATCTTTTTAAAGACGTGTAAAAACTAAAAGGGTAAACCACAAGGGTGGTGCCTGATTTGTTTGAACTTGACTCTAAAAGTCAAAAGTACCAGGAGGTCCAATGTTCAAATTCAAGGAGAAATAAAAATCTCATTGGGGCCACGGAAGTTCAAATGCGGTGACTCCAGGCTATCTACAAAGCATGTGGTCGTCTTGGAATTAATCGGCTCGCATAACAAGTTAATAAAAAAAAGTTAAAAGGGTACATACAAATTGAATTCCGGTGTCATTGAGGATTCCAATTCCAGCGGATGCAAAGTTGGCACCAGAAAGAAGTGTTTCTCCCTTTAGCAAAGGATTCAGGTATGGCAATGGGGATTCCATTCCCATGTGTTCACCTTTAAAAATAATAAAAACTATTATTAATTTAATAAAAAATGAAAATAATAATTTTTACAACTTTGTGATAATAACGTTTAAATAAATAATTATACGGTAAAAGTTGTCGATAACAAGAACGCAACTGATAAGATCCGGGATGTTGTAGCCGTTCGAGAATCGACCAGTGGGACGATGAGTGGGGAAGTCGATGCCATAGGGAGGCGAGTCGGCTCTGGCAGTGGTCACCAGGTAGTCATTGTTGCCGTTGTCGACCAACGAGTCGCCAAAGACAAAGAAAGCCCGAGCCTCGGCTCCTAGAGGGACACTAACAAACGCGGTCACCATCAACACCATAGTAGCTAAAGAAAACAAACCGTCCATTGATGAACCCGAACCAAGAACTTAACACAAACTTGCTCGACTAATGTGGATGGAACCACAGAACGACAATGGGTGGTTTTATAGGGGTCACCGGTGGTTCACGATGGTACAAATTAAATGGTCGATTCCTACCACCACCGGGAAAAAAGCCGACATCGAAACCAGTGAGGTTAAATGTGGATGTGTAAAAGGGTTACTTTTGGGACTTTGAGGACTTGCTTTCACCTTTTAGGCAATTTGTGATGCAATTGCAATGTTGGTCCAAAATAGGGAACCCAAGCTATTGATAAGGAATTGGTACAATTGCAAGGGTAGAAGTAGTTTAATCCTGCAAAATGGTACCAGAGTCAGGTTCGGTCCATCGTATCATGGCGGTCACATGGTGGCGTTGGTCCACGTTTTTGGATGGTATGGGCGTTAAGGTGGAGGAGGATCTTGTCCGGCTTGTGGCACGTTGTCGAACTTCAGTTGTCTAGGGTCGTTTTGTTACATGACCTTGAATGTGTTCAGTTAACAGCATCACTTATTATAAGATGCTTTATTTTTTGGTCCTATAAATTAAGTCTTATGAAACAATTTATCAAGATGCTTAGACATTTTTGGTGTCCTATAAACCAGTTCTATTTGTTGTAGTGATGTATTTCATTTTTGTCTGATTTTAATCGATTTATTGGATGGGTTTTGTTTGTTTCATTTGGATTGAGGTAGCTACCAATGCATTTAGGAGGTGTTTAATGATGATATGCATGCCGGCCGGCGAATATTGGATTTGACGGCAATGTTTTCCGGTGGGTAGCTGATGGGGTTTTCCGGCGAATGGGGTTGCCTAGTACATGGGGTGGCTGGCTGGCATGTGTACAGGCTGGTGCCACCTTCACAGAGGGGTATTTTGAGTCCTATCATTGTCTTGAATGCGAGACTACTTCAATGTGAAAATGAATTAATTCCACTGATATTTTATTTATATTAACTTATTTTATTTATTGAAAATAAATGAGTCTGATAATTTAAGGGTAAATTGCATGAAAACGTAATGTATTTTAACTTGATTTTATTTTGGGTAACGTACTTTCACAACTTTTATTTTGGTTAACATATAAAGTTTCAAACATTTAAGTACCTGAGTAACTGGTTGAAGCATTAATCGGTTACCATGCTGATGTGACGAGTAATGTGGTATCCAACTCAGTATTATTTGTTATTCAACCCAATTTCATCCCCATCACTCGCCACATCAGCATGGTAACCGGTTAATGCTTTAACACCGTTACCCGTATACTTAAATGTTTAAAACTTTACATCTTAGGTACTAAAATGAAAGTTTTGAAAATACATTACCCAAAATAAGAATCAAACTAAAGTACGTTACTTTCTCATACGATTTGATCATAATTTAGATATAAAAAAATTGGATATTTTTGTCAATATTGATGTGTAATATTTTGAGTCCTATCATTGTCTTGAATTTGAAAATGAATTAATTTGAGTGATATTTTATTTATATTAACTTATTTTATTTAAAATAAAATGCACAAAATAACAATCTACTTTCATAAATTTCTTTATTATAGCACTGTACTTTCAGTTTTTTTTATTACAGCAATATACTTTCAAATTATTTTTTATTAGGACATCGTATTTTGAAAATTTTACCCATTATAGCATTGGGTAACCTTTTGATTTAAATTTAACCATTATATTAGGTTTCCATGCCACCTCATTGTCCACATAGGCTGTCCATATATATTGTAATGATGTGACTTTCTTACTACATCATTGTACTTTCAAAATTATTTTATTATAGCATCTATTAGTTCTTATTAAACACTGTATTTTTAATTTTAATATTTAGATATTTTACATGTTATTTAATAAATATATTAAATAAATTAAAAAATTTCTAAATTATTCATTAATATACCAATATCAATAAAACTAGTAGAACACAACTTATCTCGCTAACATTTTTAAAAAAATGTGTTTTTTGAAAAAAGGAAAATAATAATAATTGTTCATTTTTTACCAAAAAATATTATCTTTTAAAGAATATATTATATTTGTTCAAAAACTTTTTATTTGACGTATAAATATATTAAATTAATTAGACTATTTTAAATTATTTATTAATATAACAATATTAAAAAATTATAGATAACAATTTATTTCGTTAATATTTTAAAGAGAACTTTAAAAGATATGTATTTATTTGAACAACAAAAAATAGGAAAAGTTATTTTTTTTTTACAAACAAAATATATCTCGAAAATAATATTTCATATTTATTTAAAAATATTTTACTCTAAGAATATTTAATTTGAATGCAACTTAATAAGAAAAAGCAAAAAAAAATTAAAAGTTTTTTTAGATCATAGCAATGAAAAATGAAAATCACTAATAATAATTTGAAATAGGTTTTTATTTTAATTTTAGTTAAGTCATCAAAATGATGTGACATCTACATCACCTCATTAAAGCCATACAAGCAAAAAAGTCAAAGGGTTAACCGGTTTAAAAGGTAACAGGTTACCCATTGCTATTATGGATAGATTTTTTAAAGTACAATGCCTTAGTAAAAAATAATTGAGTACATTGCTGTAATAAAGAAAAACGAAAGTAGAATGCTATAATAAGAAATTTTATAAAAGTAGGTTGCTATTTAATACATTTAATCCTTTTATTTATTGAAAATAAATGAGTCTCACAATTTAAATATATGGATATTTTTGTTAATAATAACATTTTTGTTGATATGTAATATTTTTACTATTTGTAAAATTTAAAAAGAGATAAAAAGTATTACTGGTGTTAATTTAAATCGTCAAACTGCTTACCTTGCACTACAGAACAAATAAACTTCATCGATAGATGGATTTGTGACGGATTGACCATCATCGACGGATTTTTTCGTTTGTAACTGAAAATCATCCACCAGCCACACATTCTCCGGCTATGAGATTCACATCCGCCAGTAATCCGTCATTGATGACTTTTTTCAGCAGGTTACTGACATATTTTTCCATCGGGAAAGTCTCTTTGTTGCACCATATCACACCAGAAATTTTGCAGTGCGGTTTGCATTTCTATTAAACCGTATTTTGCAGTTTTAACTATGTATTTGAGACATACTGGGATTTTTTTTATTGTATGAACATGTAATTGTCAAATATATTTTGCATGTTAAGATTGTATCGTTATTGGTATGAACGTTAAGTACAAATTGCATACAATACAGACGGCGACGTGATTTTTTTTGTGGTGTAAGGCATATTCAATACGATTTACAGTTTGGGAAAATATTTAATCATAATATTCGGTGGGGTTCACAGTTTAAGCTTAAATCACAACAGAGAAACCCTAAAAGATAGTGACGAATCAACCTGACTACTTTCCGAAACTTATAAATTGTATCATATCGATCATTTTCACTTATTTTTAAATTAAATATTTGAAAACTTTATGATTATATCATTTATATTAATTTTCATTTAATTTTAATTAACTCAAGTGATTAGTATAATCATAAAACTAAATACAACAATTTAAGTGAGAGTATGTATTCATTTTATATGTTAGTTATTTTGAACTTAGCAATTGTTTTACATGTTGAACTAATATATTTAAAAACTTAATATATATATATATCTATACTATCTTATAAAGCATTTGGTTAAAACTCTTAAAAACTCTTAAACTCGTTCATCCCTAAACGATTTCATCCCTATCCGATTTCATCCCATATCTGAATTTGTGTAACTAACTGCAGATAAATACAATCAAATACAAGATAAACATCTCATTTTAAATATAAAAAATCTAAAATATAATTAGTATAATCATTAAATTCTAACATAATACTTAATTATTATCTTTATAAAATTTATAATATTAAACCAAAAATAAATTGTTTTATTATTAAACTTAAATTAAATTATATATAAACAAATTATATTCTCTATTATAAATTATTTGACAAAAACTCTTAAAAACCATTTTTTATGCGTAAAATACTGTTTATTAATGCATATTACTTAAAACTCAAGATTACAAGTAAATTGTGCGTATGTACAACTTATTAAAGCTCCATATCTGAATTCGTGTAACTAACTGCAGATAAACAAAATAAAATACAGGATAAACATCTCATTTTAAATATA